CTACAATTGAATATCCGAAAAATGAGTGAAGTTGATGAAGGTTCTAAATCCATGGAACAAGTAGTATCTGATGGTTCTCAAATTCGAATTGAAAACTCTCTTGCTACAATCACTAGTGAATCAACTAGTACAGTTACGATATCTCAGTATGATGACACTCCACTAAGGTACAAGAACTTGAGTGAGATCTATAAGAGATGTCATTTGTGCATTGTTGAGCCTGAGTGATATGATGAAGCTGCACAGGATGAAGCATGAAAGAAGGCAATGGAGAATGAAATGAGTATGATTGAGAAAAATCAGACATGGGAATCGGTGAGGAGACTAGATGATAAGCCTATGATTAGGGTAAAATGGGTGTATAAAACAAAGTTGAATTTAGATGGCTCAGTTCAAAAGAATAAAGTTAGGCTTGTTGCAAAAGGCTATGCACAAAATCCTGGGATAGATTACAATGAAACCCTTGTATCTATGGCAAGGTTAGACACAATAAGGACTCTTATTGCACTTGCTGCAAAGAACAACTAGAAGTTATTTCAACTGGATATGAAATCAACATTCTCTAATGGTGTACTTGAAGAGGAGGTGTATGTAGATCAACCATATGGATTCATTGTGCAAGGAGATGAAGATAAGGTTTATAAATTGCACAAAGCATTGTATAATTTGAAGCAAGCTCCTAGGGCTTGGTATGGAGAAATTGACTCCTACTTTGCTCAGTGTGGTTTCAAAAAGAGTACTTTTTAGGCAACACTATATACAAAGTATAGAGGAGACTTAAAGATGGTCATAGTATCCATTTATGTTAATGATATAATCTATACTGGAAGTTCTCATGAGTTAATGGATGAATTCAAAGCTGACATGATGCATAAATATGAGATTACTCATCTGGGGCTTCTACATCACTTTCTTGGTATGGGAGTTATGCAAACTGAAGAAAGTATTTTCATACATCAGAGAAAGTATGCCTCATCTCTATTGAAAAAGTTTAGACTCTAGGATTGTAAACCTGTGAGAACACCATTGGTACCAAGTGATAAATTGAGGAAGGAAGATGACAGTGGAGCTGCAGATGAAACTCAATACAGGAAAATTGTAGGTAGTTTGATGTATCTCACAGCAACTAGACCTGACATAATGTATGATGCATGTTTGTTAGCAAGGTTTATGCATTGTCCTTCTAACAAACACTATGGAACAGCAAATAGGGTTTTTAGATATGTTCAGGGGACTCTTGATTTTGGCTTGGAGTACAAGAAAGGAAAATGAGCAATTCTGATAGGTTTTTGTCATAGTGATTAGAGTGGTTTAGAAGAAGGCATGAAAATCACATCTGGCTATGCTTTTACCTTTGGCAGTGGTGTCTTCTCCTAGGCTTCAGTTAAACAACAATGTATTGCTTTGTCCACAGCTGAAGCAAAATACGTTAGTGCATCTGAGGCAATTGCTCATGCTACTTGGCTAAGATTTTTACTAGAAGACTTTGGTGAAGTACCATCTGCTACAACACCAATGAATTGTGACAATACCTCAGCCATATCTATCACTAAGAATCCTATATTCCATCAGAAAGCCAAGCATATAGACAGGAGGTATCACTTCATAAATGAAGCATTGCAGCAAAGAGTGATCGATTTGGTTCACTGTCCTACAAAGGAGCAAATTGTTGATATCTTTACTAAGACATTAGTAAGAGAGCAATTCACCTATCTCAAGGAACTTCTTGGAGTGAAATCAGTTCACAATTTAAAGGGGGTGTTAGTGTGTAAATTGCGATCTGATGTGGCAGTTGTAATTCTAGTTCATATTGCTAGAATAATTAGCTAAGAGTTAGTTTATGCTTTCTTATTTAAGTCTCATAGGTCTTAAGTAAGTAAGTTGTTATGTGTCTTCATCTCATAGGGTGTAAGATGGTAGGCTAAGATCACCTTGATGTAATTTGAATACTGTCAAAAGTGTATAACAGTTAGAATCAGAGTGATATTCCCTCACTCTTTCTCTAGCGAATGTCATGGTGAATGTGTGAATGAATTGATCAGAGTTACATTCTCTGTTGCTCTCTCGCTCTTCACTCTCTTTCATCATCTTCCATTGTTGTAATGGAATTTCATCTAAATTATTTGTGAATCTGTGTAGTCATAGCTCACAGTGCATCATTATTTTCTCACTTTAACACAATTCACCAAATGCGAGGGGAAAATGAAATTTTTGTTTAATTGAAAGTTAAAAGTGAATTACTCATTAAGCAAATTTATCTTTCTAAATGGTAGGTTTAAAAGGGATGACTAACTTTCATGTCTAATCCTTGCGAAATGAAAAATCATTCACCTCTAGCTTCAATATATTGCAAACTACGAGTAATCCAATCCAATACGAGACATCAAGTCTCGTTTGGTTTACATGATTGGATTGGAATGGATAAGACACCATTTTCAAGGTATGTTAAAAGAAATGAAACAATTGTAACCAACTTACAGATACAATAAGTATTACTTAAAAAGAAAATTTGTCCATTCCAATAATATCCTCCTCAAAATGGGAGGATTAGATGAGTTTTTTTTTTTTTTTGGTCTAATCCTTTTTTAATCCCCTCAAGATGAAAAATAATTCTCATTCACATTCAATATGCATTAACTTTATAGAATTATCCCTTCTAATTCAATCATTTCTACCGAACTATTCTCATCAGATATTCTTCAGTCTACATGAGAGATTAGCAATATATTCAGGAAATGTAAGAGATGATGAGATTATCAATGAGACCAGATCATAAAAACATGTTGCATTCGCTAAATTTAATAAAAACAAACAATAAAAAGATGTGTCGTCCCCAAAAAAAATAAAATAAAATAAAATGATGTGTTCTTAGGACATGGGCAGCATTGGCCAACCCAAAGGAAAAAGGATCCTCTCACTTTGTCTGAATCCAAGGGTTCCCCACATTCTAATCGTTCATCGTATATTGGGCGGTTAGTTTTCGTCAGGTACTATTTGTGTTTAATTTTAAATAAATAAAAAAAGTCAAATGATTTATAACCGCATGATACACGATGAATGACTAAAATTTGAGAATCCCTAAGATCCCTACAATTTATATCCGGATGGAATCCAATTCCAACCCAAAGTATCCTAACAGAAGAAATAAAACCCAATGCACAAGTAACAAAGACTATCCTAAACTGGAGAATAATTTCATACGAATCAGGGGATGGCTGAACTGGACAAACAAATTCTACCTAAATTTTTTGTTGCTCTAATCGACCATTATTGCAGTCCTTTCTCTGACTTAATGTGGATTAGTCATCATAATTTTTTGAAAATTTTTTTAGTGTGTCTAGAACACGGTTCAGTATATTAAGTGTAATAATGTAATTTGTTGGAATATTTTTTGAAGTTTTCAGTCATCGTATTATTACATTTAGTATTCAGAACTATGTTCTCAACATACTAATATATCTCTCCAAATTTCGTTGCTGGATCCGCTCATTGGGACAGTAAGTGTTGACAATTTAATCAGCATATAAAAACTGTTCGATTACTTTAATCGATATCCTACGTAACGTCTGTATATAATATACTTGGGGTGTACATGTTCCATGTTCCTATATACTTATTAATTGGATGATATGTTGTTGGTAGTTGAACTTCACGTGATATCATCACACCATGATTATATAAATCTACAAACCACTCAATTCTTAATCTACACATCAACTTTATGGGCTGGCTTGTTATCTAAGATTAAATTGGATTTAATAATTCACTAGATTCAAGAGGAAAAATGAATTTTTTGTTCAATTGCAGGTAAAAGAAAAATGAATTACTAATTAAGCAAACTTATATTTTCAAATGGTAGGATTTGAAAGGTTGACTAACTTTTTTGTCTAATCCTCGTGAAATGAAAAATCATTCACTTCTACTTTCAGCATATCTTAAACTTCGAGTAATCCAATCCAATCTAACCCATCAAGTCTCGTTTTGTATACATAATTGGATTGGATTTGATAAGACATCATTTTCAATGTATGTTAAAAAAAATGAAAAAAATTGTAACCAACTTATAGGTACGAGACGTATTACTCAATAAGAAAACTTATACATTGCAATCATATCCACCTCAAAATGGGAGGATTAGATGAGTTCAGCTTATTTTTGTCTAATCCTCTTTTAATACCCTCAAGATGAAAAATAATCCTCATCCACATTCAATATGCGTTGAATTTATGGAGATATCCCTTCTAATCCAATCATTTCCACCAAACAATTCTCACAAGATTTTCTTCGGTCTACGTGAGAGATGTGACGTCATTAGCAATACATTCAGAAAATGTAAGAGATGATGAGACTATAAATGTGATAAGATCATAAAAACATGTTGCATTCACTATAGTTAATAAAAACAAACAATCAAAAAGATGTGTCGTCCCGAAAAAAGAAAAGAAAAGAAAGAACAAAAAAGGATGTATTCATAGGACATAGACAGCATTGGCCAACCCAAGGCATCCCAACAGAAGAAATAAAACCCAACGCACCCCTGCGGATAATGATCTTCCCCAAACAACAACAAAGACTATCCTAAACTCGACTCTCAAGCACCACAAGCCACCAGCACAAGCCCGTCTATGCAAACTCTGTCACTATTGCTGCTTGCACTCCGCAGGCCGCTCGCCTTGCTGACCTTCTGCACCTTGCACATTACCCCTTTTCTGCATTTGGCCAACGTAATTCAAACAATAACTTAGTAACCCCGAGTGAAGCTTGCTTGAAAAATCTTAAATTAAAACGAAAACAAAGGAACTAGAATGGTTAAATCATCGCGCTTTAGATGCAGCAGATGGCTGCAAAAATCCAGTTGAATTTTGAAAACATATATTAGCAGGCCGGACAGCTTAAAATTGTACAAAATTCTAGCAAACATATTGAAAGATACTGCAGATTCAAAATATTATATCCTAATTAAAAAGATTTATATCTACATATACCTTTTTCGTGCCCTTATCCTCCTCTTCCTCGTCATCGTCCACATCCTCTTCGTCTTCATCATCGTCATCGTATAACTCATCGTCCTCGTCGTCATCATCTGAATCGTCAAACCCATCCCCATGAACAGCCTCTCCAGTGAACCATGATGTTGCATGAGGAATGATTTTGTCTCGAATTGTTGAACTACACAAGGCACCAATATTAACATGTCATTCCAATAACAATAGATACAAGATACCAACTGACCAAATTCTCAACACACCCAATCCGTAATACAATTTTATTGTTTCGCCGTAGTGTACTGCCTTTCAAAAGGTCTCAAAAAATACACTGTATGTGCATTAGAGAATCGAAGCAAAAGAAATCATTAACGTACCCAATGTCATAATCCTGTTCCATCTGAGCTTGGAGTTCTTCCGCCTGCCACCATAAACATCAAAGAAAGTAAGAAACTTGCTTATATAATCATCAAACATGTCACGAAAGAAGCCAAACTTACAGACTCTTCATCAAGATCCTCGTCCTCCTTAGGGACCTCAGGAGGGCTAAAGAAGTTAAAGAAGCTTGCACAATCTTCAGTTTTGGTCACAGGTTTCGCATTCTTCGATCCCTTTCTTGGCTTCTTCTTCAAAAGCTTCTGTGTCAAGCATTTACCAGGATACCATTCGATCTCAGTCCTGCACAGCACTCCAACTTAAGAACACGAGGACAAAGGGGAAAAATCAGTAAAACAGCCGTGATGTATTATTGTCATGAGAATTACCCAATAGCCTTCTCCAAAATAGGCTCGTTCTCGTCGACCATGTGATATGTTTTTGTCAGGATGGAATTTTTGAAATATGGATTAGTATCAAAGAAGAACTCCAGCTTGAATCCTTTTGGATCATCTATCCTAGACCACTTGATATCTTTGAGATGCTTGAGTGCCCCTTCATCACGCTCGGTAATCTATTCCAGCAAACAGCTGATCACATTGACATATTTCCAAACTTAATTAAAAAAATGAGCATAGAAAAATGGCTTATAGAATCACCCACCTCCTCAGAAAGTACGTCATTAGTCTTCATTGCAGTAAGCCAAAAGTCAGGCACTCCTTTCTCTACATCAAAAGACAAAATCCAACATCAAACTCAAATGTAATGCATGAAAGTCATGAAAGCCATTAAAGATTTGACATCTGATAGGTACCTTCGATGTCCTCGTCTCCTTCTTGGTCCATTGCAGCTTCATTTTTCACTCCTTCAATTTCAGTTATACCATTAACAATCTCATATCTCTGCAATCAACCGTCACATTAACCAGAAAGACATTACATCATCCTTGCATATAACAGCACATTTAAAGCCAATTCAGAAACCTCGATTAAGGCTAAATTTTAAATACAAGGATCCTTAACTGTAAGACATCATACTCAAAGTAATTAGAGATGCCTGCTGAAATTTTTTACCTTAGTGTAGAGAGGTTCATAAAGCTTCTGGTATTTTGCTTCCAATGCAGCTTTCTCCTCAAAAAATTTTGTTTCAATCTCATCATGTTGGCTCTGGAAAATATGGATGTGTTAGGGATACTAAGGAGCTCCGTAATAATTGAGCAAAAAATCACTTCAAGTGAATCTTAGGTTATACTTATACATCAAGTTGTAAGGATTGGTACAGAAATTTCAGAATAATACTTATGCTAGCTGAAATTTAAAGTCAGACCAACCTGTATCTCCCTCAGAACCTGAACACGCTTCCTGACGATGGGTGACAAAGTTTCCAAGACGTCGGTCTGCTGTCCTGCCATGCTCTGAATCTTATCCTGCAAAGAACACCAAAACTAAGTAAACTGAACAAAATCTAGCAGCCGAAGTACAGAAGGCATACCAGAGTAAAAAGTGATTAGAACTTTTAAAGAAACCCAGGAAAAACACCATCTGTTCAAATATTTTCGGTTTCAAGAGCTTAAGCTCAATTCATTCACAATCCAAACCAAACGAAGCCTTTATAAGAACTTGTGTTTATTTTCGCTACCGAAACTTGAACTTTATTAATATGATCATCAATTCATCATCACCAGAACAACAAAAAGAGATTCTATTGAGAAAAAAAATGTAAAACTGGCGTAGGATACTTGCCTTGAGAGCATTCACAAGGCCATCACGATCCTCTGCACTCAGAGCTGCAGAAGGAAACCAAACAAACTGTTCAAATTCAAAGTAAACATTCACAATTTCACCACAAAACTCAATTAAAATGCTTTCAATTAGTTCCCAAATCACATTCCAATTTCCCAATGGGATTACAAAATCGAATAAAGCATTAGGGTTCTAGCTTCACCAAACAGAATTCAAAATTCAAGCAAACAATTTCCCAGTACATAGAAAATAGGGTTTAACAGTGAGATAAAGGATTACCGGCTGCGGCGGCGGGGAGGGAGGAGTCGAGCTCGGCCATATCAAAGTTATCCTCGTTGCTGCTCATTGTTTGAAAGAGGTGTTTGGGAGCCGAGAAAATGCAAAACCCTAGAGAAAAAGAGAGGGAAAGTGGACGAGAAAAAGGGAGGGAGATCGCGAAGGTGAGGCGCGTGAGGGTAACGGACCAATGGGGTAGAGGCGTCAGTTGGTTTGAAACAGCCACTGACAAAACTCAAACACAGAAACTAAACCAAATTCAAATCACTGTTATTATCTGCTAATCAGTGATTAGTGAAGAGGAAGAAGGGGGGGTTAGGCCTAATTTATAGTGGTGGGGAGATAAGATTTGCATCAATCTAAATTGGTAAATGATAATGGGGGTAATTTGTATGGTAATTACCAATTGAAGTCGAAATGCATCGAACATGAATTTTGAATTACAGTTAAACAAAATAGTGCGGTAAAGATGAAGTTGTTTAGAATTGTCCAATGTCTATAACGACAATTTGAAATTATTGTTTTGTATTAGGAAACATTTTGTTTTAAATAATGCGCGTCTTTACTATTACGTAACGGTAACATCACGTGACATACCGTTATTATGTTTCAGTAAATGAAAATTATAAGGCGTAAAATTATTAATATTCAACTTTAAATTTAGAATTTTAAGGAATTTAGAACACCTCGTGGAATGGCAACGGGATTTTGCTTGTCAAACAAAATAATATTTTTCATTTATGCATAGGATCATAAAAGAAAAATGAGGTGTTATTGTCCAAAAAAGTCATTTCCCGCCCAGAGTTGGAATTTTATCACAAATGATGGATTCATTAGATTGTAATATTTCGTCCTTAGTACTACGGTTTAGTGGTATTTCTTTTCACTTAAAAGTGAGATTTTAGATTCAATTCTCATCAAAGGAGAATTTGAACCACATTATTGCTAACTTATTGTGAAGCTTAACCCACCCCTCCCCTTTAGTATCGATGATATTATTTGTTCAAAAAAAAGAAGTAATAACATATTCCATCTATGCATGGGATTTTTTATCTGATCTGTGCAGATGATTTTAAGAGAAAATGAGATGTTTTTCTAAAAAAAGTCAATTCCTTAGCCTAAAGTTAGGAAATATTTTCTCACACATGATAAATTATATTTCTCAGAATACTATGGGTACATACAACGTTCCTTTCATAATGTGGTAATCTTCTTTTATTAGGTATGCTAGTGAATACCTAAATACCAATTAAAGTCTAAATACATCGAACATGTATTTTTTTATTGATGTGATTGAGAATTGGAAATTTACGTGTTAAAAAGATTATTTGGCGCTTCATATCTCAAAAGTTGATGTTTTAAACTTTTTAGGCAATTTGGATTGACGTAACTTTAATTTGACATGTTTTGAGTCTACAATATATAGATTTGAAGAGACCGACAAGATTTACAAAACATTCTCTTGTTCTCAAAAGGACGTGCTTCACCGTTTACAGAACTATAACATCCCGCGACATGTCTATGTAGTGTTTCAGACACACCAAAGTATCATGTGTAGAATGATTAATATCTACCGTAGTCGAACACATCTTAAGAATTTTAGTGAACTCAAAATACCGGGTGAAATGCCAATGCAATTTGTCCGTCAAATATAATACTTCATCATGAATGAAAAATGCTTGAGAGACCAAGGAGTTCAATCATCATTTGCCGCATCTTGTGGTCTGCAAAAGATGGTTTAAAAAGTTGGTCTCGCTGCACGCCCCTAATCATTGAAAACAAAATAAAGATGAACAACGTACCAGTTCTCTTCAGCAAAAATAGAATAACAAAACCGTTCGGGTCAAATTACACACATTGCGAATTACTTCTCTAAAAGTGACTATATCAAGTACTGTGCCTAGTGCTTCAACTTCGGTTTCAATGCTTCAATGACTGCTGAAAAGTCCTCGTCGCTGAGGCCGTGTGATTTTGCGACCTTGTATAGTTCATTTGCAGCTGCTGCAATCGGCGTAGATTGGGAAACAGATTCTGCTAATCCCAGAGCAAGCCTCATGTCCTGAAACCATTCGGGAACTTGTACGATCAGGTCAAGGAGTTATATAGTGAAACTGTGCAAGGCAATAAAGGCGTCTTAACAAACCTTCTGTTGATGCTTCAAGGGAAATGCGGTAGGATAGACGGATTGAATCATTGATGGGCCTTTCATTGAGTACATTGGTGCACTAATGGCTCCCTGTGAGACGACCTGCAATACGATGGGAATGCACAGATTTCAGATTTCCTTGGGACCTTTTTTTGCCCCTTTCTGGGACTTACAAACAAGTTTAGCACTGAGAAAAGGATGAAGAACAAACAGCTTCCAAGGGCCTCTACTCGAAGAAACCTAAATGAAAACATAACTAAAGAAAAAACATAGAGAAAGAACGGCATCTCTCATAAAGCTTCTCCAATCAATCCTCCATTCTAGGCAAGAAATCTGCATCTCGAATTCTCAATTACAAATCACCATGCATAGAAGAACTGAAATCATTTTTGTCTTGACTAAATTTCTCGTCCCAACTAAGATTCATTGAGATAATGTCAGTGTCAATCATTAAGAACATGAAATGTTTTTGCTTAAATGCTGTCACCATTAGTCCATTCCCAAATAGAAGAATCATTCACCACACAGGTCATAGCCATATACTGTAGAAACTGGTATGTTGGTTGGTTCATCAAATGCCTTCATAACCTCGGTTCCTTTCCCAACAGAATCCGTGCTTTTGAACCCAGTTATATCAATACAAGGCACAGAAATGAAAAGGTGAAATTGGAATAAATTTTTGTGTCCTCCCAAGTTTGTGGGTAAAATACTAGAATTTTCTAACCATAACATCACCTAAACTAACAAAGAAAGCAAAAATCTTGAAGACATTAAAAAAAACCTTGTATCGCAGAAGCTACAAGAACCCATTATTTGAATGAAATAAAAGCTAAGGGACGGAGATATAAATACAGAGACATTTATATGACTAAAATCCGGTTTAAGATAAAGCGTATTGTGGAGAATACCTCAACTAGTACTTTCGGGTCCAGTCCTATTTTCTCAGTGAGAAGCAAGCCCTCAGAAAAGGATGCCATCATACTGAAAATTGTAGAAACTATTAAAGAACACATAATCTGGATAGAAATGAACAACAAGCACAAACTAAAAGGAATTAACTGGAATGAAACGCTGCATGACCTTCCCATAATCATGTTGACAACAAGTTTCATAGCAGCACCATTTCCGACCTCCCCAAGGTAAAATCTTGACTGGATGGAAGTGTAACGTAAGCAAAGAATAGAGACAAGTAACTGGATGGCTATATGACTAGGTTGAGAAGAGCCAATACCTTCCCCATGATATCCAAAAGGGATGCTACTGTTTCATACAGAGATTTGTCTCCTGAAAGATTTCAGCTTTTTCAGTTTCTCAGAGGTTCCCTTCGTATGTCACAAAATGGGAACAAGCATAAATGGTACCGAGAAATGCATTAACGAAAACAAGAAGATTGCATACCTGCAGTAAGAAATATTAGTTGCCCATCTTCAGCTGGTTTTTTTGAACCTGAAACTGGTGCCTACAGGAAAAGAGCCAATATTGGATTAAACATGCTTGAAATGAAATAAAGAAATTATATAGATGCCTTGCATATATATAAAAAATAAACTAACAAAAGCAGCTTGCCTCTAAAAACGATGCCCCGGTAGCTTTGATATTTCCGCCAATCAATTTAGAAGTTGCAACATCAACAGTTGAAACATCCACATACCTGCAGATGACCGTATAAAGTTACATAAACGCAGTTGACCAGCTTTGGAATAACATATTTGAAAAACCAAAGGTATTTTGTGAAAGGTGAACTGAGAATTTGTGAATGCCTAAATAAAAAATTTTAAATCATAGAACATGTATATTGTTCATTGTGCCAAAAGCAGCAAATTTGCAAATGTGAAAATGCTTAAGTTAAGGGGGTGCAGTTAAATATTACCCTTTTCCTGAACTCATTCCATTGGCAGCTCCATGCTTCCCCAAAGCAACAGCAACCTGTGTTAAAGCAGCGATAAGTTCCTCCACCTGCGGTAGCAGAGTAAGCAAGAACAAGCCTAAATGAAAACATACG